AAACATGATAAATAACCTTGGGACTACAGCTATCTCTTCTATGCCTACAATGATGCCAACACCAGGAATGGTCCAGCAGACAGGAGTAAATGCTCTTAGCGCGAACAACAGTTCTGCTATGAATATGCCTCTGGCACAACATCCTAATGGCCAGCAACCATCGAAGTATGTCAAAATTTGGGAGGTAAAGATTTCAGTTTGCGTTTCATGCTCCTTGCGATAGTAGCTTTGCAATATAGGTTGCTAAATGCAGCATTTAAATAGCGGTATGTATGAAACTTAATATAGCATCCGAGCCAAGAGGTTTCAGGTTCAAGTTTCGGATTTCACAATTTAAATGAAGAAAATTGCTTGCCTCTTTCTGTCCATGTTTAGGCCTTATCAAGCCACGCATGAGAGGGGGTGTTGAAGTATATGCAGATTGCCCAACCTTGTCAATTTTTTTTTTGTTCTACTGGTCAGTGCATGAAATTTAATAGAAAATACGTTTGTAAAAGTTACTCCCTCCGTCCCGAATTAGTTGTCTTAGATTTGTTTAGATACGGATGTATCTAGACACGTTTTAGTGTTAGCTACATCCGTATCTAGACAAATCTAATCTAAGACAAGTAATTTGGGATGGAGGTAATACATATTTATGCAATATGAGTTAAGAGTGTCAAGCAGACAACTGAACAAATATTTGTAATGATTTTGAACTTCCGGATATATATTTCTCAAAAAGTACAGGGTTACAAGATCATGGCTAGCCGTGAGGAGAGTTAGACAGGCGGCTACCTTATCAGCCTGTTCTTTAAACCGAAGAGCCCAAAGTTCAAAATCATTATAAATATTGTGAATAGTGGTAGCACTTAATTCATGATAATCTTGCTCATGTTGTCTGGTGTCTTTGCCTAGGAGTACAATTCAGGACATGATTTTCTTCTGTTCATATTTCAGGGAACTTTGTCTGGGCAAAGGCAAGGACAACCTGTATTTATTTGTAAACTTGAAGTAAGTTCCTATTTGTATGGCTTAACCCTCACACTTTCTGATATAGTAACAGTTTTTATGCTCTCTGTTGATCTGTATGCGATCTGAAAAGAGACCATTCCTTTTATGGAAAGACAGTTCAGTCCATTTCATCCAAACATGGCATATGTTGTTTTACTTTATTTTCTGTTTATACTACCCAATGATTGCCTGCAACTGTTCATTACTGCCTATTTAATTAATCATTCATGACAAAAATAGCTCTTTCAAGTGTTCTCTATTCTTGAGGCCGTTGGAAAGTCAATGCTTAGAAAGAACATACTTTTTTTTATCCGAACAACAGGCGACAATCCTACTGAGTATTATGTGTATTAGTAATCAAGATCCAAAATAAGAATTTACAAAGAAACAATTGATAGAATCTAAAAGATAAATCAATAAAATAGATCACAATGGACATATTAATGTCCAACCATTTGACCCCCTGACATCTTAGATGAGATCGTGATTTGCAATTATTTCAAATCCAGAAGCAACATTCTCTTTCATCTAAGCTTATTTTATGAATGTGTACTTTGTTTCTCTGGATCCAACATTCTGAATGAACCAGAGCATTGTTATTATTAGCTCCTTGAAGAATAGGCTTGGTTGAACCAGCCTGATTTCTAGCCGAGGCGAACATATCCAAGATATATAAAGGATTTGTTCCAAGAGGTTTAAATCAAAATAGAGATAGTGCCCAATCTTCTGAAACCTGATTAATGCAAAGAGCACCAACTTAACTTCCTCCACGTCAAAAGTCTTACTCTCCAATCCTTGTGTTAACTTCTCCATGAAGTATTGTTGAGAAAAACAACTTACTATGCATTAAAATCTGCACCAAGATACACTTTGTTTTTCTGAACCTACTGAAAATTTTGTGAAGCATGGAACAGAATATCAGTTTATGCTGCCAATGCTCATTGTTTTCACGGTCTACACCTTCAAAGCTGAAACCAATTGTTATAATTTCGGATTGTATACTGTAATTTGCTATCCTCTTAAATATACCATACCATATTCTATCCTTGCAAAGCATTTCAATGTTGTATTTCTCATCCTATCATCTGTGTTGCAGGGTTATAGGAGTGGAACAGCGTCTGACACGTAAGTCTTTAAACTGTTGCAATACTATTTTTGTGATGAATGAGATTAGGAAATTTTACAGCTAGGTATTATTGTTGCTCTTTTTCTTGAAAATGAATTGCTTTACAAGAAATATTGAATTTTTAGTGGACACCTACACCCTGTTCGTGAAGTCATTCTCATTATACTATCTGTAATACATCCTGTGCGTCCAGTAACTTATCTGAACACACCTATCAGCTATAGGAGTATGGAATGCTAAGGTTAGTTGCAAACCAACTAAATACCAGTCTTCTAGGTTGGTATGTCATATTTGGTTTCTTTGGCAGCACCTTTCAAATTTTACTAGTGTACTGATTGCCAGATATATTCACGAATGTTCTAGGTTGCTATATTCTTGAATTTTACCTGCTGTTCAAGCGTAATTTCAGTTGGAAACCTGACAACGTTCCTGAGTTCTAATATGATACGCCCAGTGAAGAAACTTCTTGTTTTCCTGCACTTTGTTGGGCAACTTTGAATGCCATTTGCCTTCACTCAATAAAATCTATCATCGTGTCTTATTTTTCTCCTTAAGTCTTATGATAGCGCTTTCATACAATCTGCAAATCATACCATCAGTCTGCCTAAAGAAACTGAAGCTGTACTTTTATATTCAGACTTGCTTCAGACTGGCCAGAAACGATGCAGATCGTGCGCCTCATAGCCCAAGAGCATATGAACAACAAGTTTGTCGCTCAACTAGCCCATGCTTTTCCTTGTTAAAACCGCTGCATTATTGTGTGTTGTTCCTAATATCATTCCTGCTCAACTTTGGTTGTTCGATCATGTAATTGTACAGGCAGTATGTTGGCAAGGCAGACTTTCTAGTATTTCGAACATTGAATCAGCATGGTTTCCTCGGACAACTACAAGAGAAGAAATTGGTGAGTCGCTCAGTGCTTGTTTTAACCTTGTGGAATATTTATGATCTCAGTTTGAACTGCACTTAATTAAGCATGGTATCATACATTTACTTCTTTTAATGTTCAAGTGGTTCATTGCTTCAGTGTGCAGTGATTCAGCTACCTTCACAAACTTTGCTGTTGTCAGTGTCTGACAAAGCTGGGCGCCTCATAGGAATGCTGTTTCCAGGGGTATGTTTATAACTAATTGAGAGATTACCGCAATTTGTCTATTGTAGTATTCATCTAAATCAACACAATTCTCTGCCGAGTTTCCCCCAGGATATGGTGGTATTCAAACCACAGGTCTCAACTCAGCAGCCACAGATGCAGCCACAGCAGCAGCAGCAGCAGCTACAACAGCAGCAGCAGCAAATACAGCAGCAACAGCAGCAACTACAGCAACTGCAACAGCAGCAACTACAACAGCACCAAATGCAAATGCAGCCTCAAGGCCAGCAACTTCAGCAGCAGCAGCAGATGCAGCAAATGCAACAGCAACAACAACAGATGCAGCAAATGCAACATCAACAACAGCAGCAGCAGCAGCAGATTCAGCAGCAGCAGCAGATGCAGCAGCAGCAGCAGCAGCAGCAGCAGCAACAGATGCAGCAAATGCAACAGCAGCAGCAGCAGCAGCCTCAACAACTCCAGCAGCAGCCGCAGATGGTGGGTACAGGGATGGGTCAGCAACAATTCATGCAGGGGCATGGTCGGGCGGTGCAGATGATGCAAGGAAAGATCGCGCCACAGGGCCCAGGCAACATGTCTGGAGGAGGCTACCTATCTTGAAAATATCGCGTGCTAGCAGGACACTCCTTGGGTTCATGAGGCTCCTTGGAGATTTGGCACACCCAATTAGTGTGGTGGTTTTGTGCTTATGTACAGAGCATTCCGAGTCTGTCAGCTAGGAGGAGTTTGCTTACTATCTCATGTCTAGCCTGTAGCTGAGGTATTCATCATCCTATTGGATGGTACATTAGAAGAACATATTCAGAGGATTGATTGGAGAGGGACCTATAATCTGGAATGATTTGCTAAAGATAAAGTTACATTTTCACACCGTTGGACCGAACATGCATTTGAATCTTCATATGTCCAATAACTTACTGTATTTCCTACTTATCCATGCTAAATGGAGGCGCTGGGGAGGAGGCATGGTGGTGTGTTAGGAAGAATCCTGATTGCTGGGTCAGGTAGAGATGCGTCCCACAAATGTTTTACGAGCCGGGCCGTTTTTACGATATCTGCTCAGGCTATTTTTTTTGTCCGCCCTGTAAAACCGTCGGAAAAGGCACCCAGCCAGGTTATAGGGAGCTGAGGTGCCCGTACTGGGCTTTTGATTGGAAGCCCATTTTACTCGTTATGTCGGTCTCTGGTTCGCTACCCTGTTTTCGTGCTTCGCTGTCCTGTTTCTCCTCTACTGTTTCTGTGCTTCGCTGCCCTTCTGTTTCGCTGTTTCGCTTTCGTTGCCGTTTGTTTATTAGAAAATTCCTTTCGTTTGGTTGTAGCTTTTTTTCTGACGTCAGCGAGCACTCCTATTTTTTTGTTTTAAAAAAGTTTTTTTTGTCTCGTCTTTTAGATAAATAAAAAATACAAAGAGTGAATAAAAATAAAGAAATTGAATTTTCTTATTAAATATTTTGAAAGAAAAGTAAGCAGATTTTGCTCGTGCCTCTGTTTTGGAGAAGTAATTATTAAACAAAAAATGACTACTTTTAATATAGTTAAGGTAATCAAACAGAGAAGGAAGCATTGAATGTTTAGTACAGCAGAACAAAAAAATAATATTCAGACTTGTTTTGAACAATGACCCCCTCAACATTTTCTTCATTCAAGTAGCACGAGAAGGAAATAAGTTCTCGTTTGGTAGAGCAAAAAGTAAAATGGAGAAAATTGTTTATGCGATGAAAATGTGGTCATCTTGTATCTTGAACCTGGGTTAAGCTGAGTATTGATTCACCTGAATAGCCGGAAACCCTGTTTGTAAAAAAATAAAAGAAGTTTGGTCAGTTTATTTAAGTAGAAAAAGAAAAACTTTAGTTTCTGGTTGTAGTTGAATATTATTATTTAATGTATTAAATTTAAAAATGTAGGGGGAGGTTTTCGAATGGCGGAACTAACGTGATTTTGTTGGAAAGCTTTGACCAATGGTAGTTGAACTTCACTGTTGGAACAAGTCGCAATTTCGTAGAGAAAAATTTCTCTTAAGGCCTGTAGGTCATGCTGCAAAAAATAAAAAGAAAGTAATTGTATTAGACACTCTCATTCTTTTTTTGAAAAAAATGTACGTTGAGTTTTATTTATTTGGAATGTCAAGCATATACTTTTTTAGATCAACAAATTATTTACATGGGCAGCTTGAAAAGAACTTACAGTTGTGAATCCTGGCACTCCCATCCCCCGGTATGTTTTTAGAATTTGCAGGAGGAATATGCCGGTGTCGTACCTGAGTGATAAGAAAGAGAATTTACTAGGAGTTAGGAGTGCGCAAAAATATTATAAAGTGAAGAAAAATTAATTTGAAGTACAGTGCACAGAAAAAAAATGATTCTTTTCTTTCTTTTCTACCTGAAATGAGTCCGGGGTACTGGAACGAAACGGTAGTCAAATTCTTTTATGTTGAATGCGATGCAATTTGGGTATGTTTTCGCAAACAGACTCTTGAAGTTGAATGTAACAGTGCTGATAATTGAAGTGAATTTGTTGTTTCCAGATCCATCAGGGTTCATTATATCAAAGAATTTGCCACTGTCAAAGTTAGCAGTGATTACAATCCACTGTTTGTCATTGAAGCAAGGCAGATGAACCTGTTAGAAAAAAAGAGAAGAAAGTACAGACATATTAGTAGAAATTGAAGAGTGGAACATAAAAATTTGGTGTTTCGGTTTTCTCTTTAGAATGATTTGCTCGAAAAGATAGTTTCATACGAAGTTTGCGTTCTGTAAACTGAACCCAACAGTTGCTTCGCTTAACATGTCTGCGCATATTGGATCTGAATGGTTTAGTAAGGGTCTCATTAGAAGTTCCTGATGAAAAATGGAAAAATGAGAGTAAGTTTGTATAAATGTGTAGATTAAAAAAGTACATTAATTACTCATGTCTTCTTTGTGTGATGAAAGACCAAGATAGGATAGAAGAAGAAAAATTACCATGTCTTCTGTGCCGACGATATGGACAATAGGTTCATTGCTTGGTATTAGACCCTGCCTTCCCCGATTGAGTAGATCTGTGTTGAGCATTTTAGAATAGCAATCCAAAGTGTGTGGGTTCATCCAGCCGCCTGGCCTCATTGAAACAGTCAAAGTTTTTTGATCGACCCACACGTTATCTATTTGGAATATCCTTTGGCTGTATAGAATAGAGTAAGTAATTTCAGGATTGGTAGTAATGAAGCATGGTGGTGAAAATTAGTGAACAGAAAAAGAATACAGAACCATGTACATAACATTTTCACCTGATGTCTATATGAGGTAGAAGTGACGACATCATTTTGAAGAAATCTGCTTGAGCTGCTGTTGAGAAAATAACTTGTTCCGAATTGAGCTGAGTTGTTATGTGCAATTTTGATGCTGAAGAGAAGTTCTGCAGTGGTGGCTGCTCTGCTGCTGCTTTATCTCTGAGCAAACATTCAGCTTCATAATCTTCCAGGACTTGGTACATGATAGGGTCTGGTATAGGTGTACCGAATCTGTTGGCTGCTTTTTCTGAAGAATTGTGATAGCACCTAAGCGGGCTGTTGCTATAGAGGAACTGATTGTTGCTACCTGAATTCCTTACAAGAGATTCATAGTTGGTTTTGGGAAGGATTGATGAACAACTAGGAGGTGAATAATTTGCTTGGTAATTGTTTGGGACTTCTTGCATAGGGACTAAATTTCAGGCTGTCTGTTATAGCGGTAAAAGAAGGGATGTCAATATCTGAATTTTGTGGTTCACACGCATTGGATGTACTACCCAGGTTGTAGTTTTGAGTGGTTGGAAAACTTCTGGTAGGAGGTGCTGATTGCGAGCATTTCATATTCCTGGAAACATCTAGGGCAACCGTAGTTGTTGAATCCGTACCTTGTTGCAAACAGTACAGTTTGCTATCTGATTGCATGATAGAAAAAGTCATTAGAAAAAGAAAAGGAACACTGTATTAAGGATAAAAATGGTGCAAACAAAAAAAAACTAAAAATGCAGAAATTCTAAGGAAAAAAGGGGGTAGTGAAGAAATAAACCTCTGCAGTTATGATTAGGTCTAACGAATTTCATTTGGGTCAAACAGAATTTCTCTTTTGTGCAATCAATTTTGTCTGTTTCTTGCATCCCATTCGCTTCTGTGTGTGTATAGATGTAATCTTTGAGTACTGCATATAGATTTAGAAAAAAACGAAGAGAAAATGTGTTAGATCTTGTTTCAACCTATGTAGAAAAAAAGGAGAAACATGCTGGAAAAGGAAAGATTTTAATTGAAAAAATTGGAATTACCTTGGAGGAAATCAATATCTGGGTAGTCATATTGTTTATTTATTTTATCGATGACGAACAAATCTTCAAAGGTTGGTGACCTTTTCTGAAACAGGTCATCAATGCCTGATGAGTTTTCTAAAAGGAGGCACTGTGAGAATTTCTTGTCCAACCATTGAATAGATGAATCTCCATCTTCCTTTTCCCAGTTTGGAGGATTACTGTAAGGCATTGCGAAATCCAGGAAATCATGTGACGATAAAAAAGTTGTTGGATCCTTGAAGTATTTGTTTGAGTAGATTTGTTCAGCTTGCTGGTGTAATGAAATGTGGTTGTTCGGGGATGTAATTTGTTCATTTGCAGACTCTGTCATTTCATTGTTGATGTGGGTGAAACTCTTGGAGATTGTCGAATGGAGATCATCAATGTATCTTTCCGTTGTTGGAATGGAGTTTGATATTATCGTTTGCCAAAATTTCTTGGTCATATCTTCAAGCAGTGCCTTCTCCTGAAAGGTATTCACATTAATAAAAATTACTTTGTATATATATGTGCGTGACATGTCAATAGATCAGCAAAAAATATAAAACCGTATTGAAAATGATGAATGTCTCATACATGATAAGAAGAAAAATGGAAGAATGAAAGAATGAAAAGTTTCCAACCTGTAAGTTGTAGATTGACGGAAATTTGGAACTGATGTACTGTAGAATACATGTAGGGAGTTTGTTTATTCCTTCATTTGATATATTGTTGAATGGAGTTGATGAAATATGTTTCAACTGTTTTGCATCATAAATGAACCGAAAAAAAATGTTAGAGAACAGACCTACGCAGAATACATATATGTGGTGGACAAAAAAATGTAAAAGAAAGGAAAGTCTGATTGTAAAATTATTAGAGAAGGTAAAGAGTTTTTGTTGTAAAAACACTTACCGGAAGTCTTCCGAACTGAAGGTGTACACCGTGCATTGTGTCTAGGGCTGTGAAAGTTTTTAGCAAGCTAGATGACCACAATGGGAGTCTTGGCAGTATGTCGATAGGGAACTTGAATTCAGAAGTAATTAAGAATTCGAAGTGCGCAACCTGATATTAGGAACAATATTTGTAAGTTAAAATTGTTTAAAAGAAAGAGTTGGATGCAGTAAAAAATTAAAGGAAGAAAAAGTGATCTTAGGCTCATAATTTTAATATAAACTTACCACCAAGATTAGTTTGCATCCTCCAGGATAAAATGCCTTCTTCTGGTGATGACCTGACTTATTTTTTTTTATTTGATGTACTAGGTAGGATAGAGTTGAAAGGCACCAGTTGTATTTGCCAGCATAACTAATGTTTTGCAGAGCACTGTAGAATTTCTTTGATGGGGAACCTTTCGCATTAGGAGCAATCAAGCTTGAGATAGCGAGGAGCAAGAATATAGTAGAGAAATTTTCTTCGGAAATGTTGTCCGTAATCATCGCAATAAGATGCTCTATAGTAGGTGCTGATGATTGTACAAAGTTATTGATAATATCTACACATTCTTTGGTTGGTGTAGAATTTATTGGTAAGCCACCAGCAGGAATTCCAAGGATTTTATGAACAATAGATGTGTTGAATTCAAAATTGAATCCATTCCTCAGCTCCAGAGTGCATGTTGCAGTATTGAATTGTAATGCAAGCCACATGAAAATATCATCAATGTTGCAGGCACAGCTGATTCGTAGCAGTGAAGCGAAGCCAAGTTTTCGAACTATGTTCTTCTGAGTATCATTAAGTTCAGACAGAAATTTAACAAACAACTGGAGGTTGTCTTCATTGCTGACATCCTACATAGGGAATAGATAGGTTGTGTGTTAGTTTTTTGTTTTTTTATGTGTATGTACTGAATAATAAATTGTAAAAATTATGTACGGTTACTATTTATTAAAAAATTGAAACGGGTGTCAGTGAAAAAACTGAGTCAGTAGTAGCCCCCTGCTAGTTGTTTTTCTGGCCTACATGTACCTTCTTTCTTTTGGGAGGATTATTCCCATTCTCTTCATTTGGAAGCAGATGTTGGTTGTTCCTCTTCCTTGCTGACATTTCTTCCATTTAGTTGAATTCCTAGAAAATTGAATAACTGAACAAATTAGGAGTTGTGTTCTTCTAAAGAAAAAAGGACAACATTACTATAGTTGTATTTATAGTACTTGTTTGCAGGTATGAAAAGTAACAAAAAATGCGTTTCACTAATTTTGTGCGGATTGTCAAAAGAGGTTTTTCCTTTGTTCATTTGTCCTGTTTTACATATAGAGAAGAACTTAAAACAAGAAGTAATTCCGTTGGACTGCAGTACATTCTCAAAAATGGGATTTATGTTGTTCCCAACTCATATCTACAGAGGAAAAAACTTTTTATAAAAAAGGTAAAAATTAAGTGATGTATTCTGAAGTGATATCTCATAGGTTTGTTCGTAAATTCGTAAATTCAGAAAGAAATTAGGGTGTATACTACATTCAGAAAGAAAAATGTTTGTGGCTCGTACTATAATGAACTAGACCTCATAGTTGGTTCGTCTGTTTCGCAGTAAGGTTTAAAAACTCGGATAAAAATCATAGTCGCAGTAGTAGAGCCACGACGCGAATGCAACTCACATGCCGTGGACCAGCTTCTCTGTCATCACGATGAGGAAACAGTCCAAACATGATTGGATAGCGTGGAGGCCAACAGAGAAGAGGAGCCTGGCCTTGCAAATCGATCGGATGGTTGAGGGGTCACAGTGGCCATGGATGGCCGGGGGAGACGAATAATCTAGCATCTTGTAAAAGGAATGAAATACTTTGTTGGCCACGTTTAAAGTCAGAGACCTCTCTAAGATGATGTGAAAATAGGAAACATCAAAATAGCTACTTAATGTTTTAGCTCAGAGACCTAAATGAAGCTAGCTGCCATGGCAATCCCCATAGATACACGCAGGGGAAGAAACAGAGCTTCCACGCACACGGTCGACGGATCAACGGACTACCGCTCGACAGCGGAGCTGCCGGATAGCAGTGACGGCACACATCGGGCGCGCACGGTGTGCACAAATCCAACGCCCCGCATGAACGTGAATCAAAAGCTATAGAAAATCAAAATGCAAAAAAGGGAGCGGAATCATGACCGTAGTGGTAAGAAAAGGGATTGGGTGAATTACCTTTTGGATCCGATATTGGGAACTTAGTTGAAGCCGAGGATCTAGTTCATGATGCAGAACCTGGGAAAAAAATCGCCAGAGAGTGGAGTTTTGGATGAAGAAAGGGGAAAGTGGATTCTAGTTTGCAATTAGACCCCTTTGATAGTCGGCCACAGGTTGGTCCCACCTGTAAGACTTCCTTCCGAGGCGGTTTAGTCGCTGAAACAGTGACCCCACATTACTTTAAAAAATTTACAGAAAGAACGGGGAGGAAAATAGAAAGAGTCTTATATATGTTTCTTTACTGGTAGAAATAGGAAGATACGCGGAGGACTCAGGGGAGGCGGCGGCGGCTGCTTCTAGGTCGCTCGCCAGATTTGCCACCCCGTAGAAATCAACCAGTGGATTATATCTTCTTTGTTGACGGGATGACAGAATCAGGTGGGGCGCTGCCGGCGAGTCTTAATCGATCTACCACATGCGATGATGGGGGAGTAGCTAGCCAGAAGGCAGATCCAGCCGGCCGTGGAGCTACTCTGGTGATTCTTCTAACTAGATTATTTCTTCTATACTCGATTGTGTAGTTTATTTTCTTTTTTGAGTACCCAAAAATTGCTGCAATGCTTTATTAGAAAGCAATCATCCCGTTTGCTAGACAGGAACAAAAAAATGAGAAATAATTAAAAATAAAAAACATTATAGTCGATAGGTTATATAATTGCTCTAATTTTGGTATATAGTGACTGGTCAATGGAAATTAATTCAGGTTCAGAACTAGAAAAACATGTCTATTGAAATCTAGAAGTAAAGTTTGTCTTGGGTATTTGGATATATTTTATGTATATGTTTGAAGATTTTTGGAAAAAACAAATTAGTATTGTTTATGAAAATAAACTAGCAGGTTCTCATATTTTCTTTTGAACAAAATTCTCTGGTTTACTTGTGTTGTTCTCACATTTAGTTGTGATAAAAAGAACATTTATATGGCACCTGGTGCCTTTTACTGCAATGGTTCAAAGTAGTCTGAAATCTTCCCCCATGCCTTGTACAGAAGTTTACCTCATGAAATTCATTTATGTTTCCTGGAGACCGTTTGACGCTACAGATCTTGTTTCCCCCTATAGGAAATCAGACAAGAATTTCGTCCGACTCAGACACGCTTTCACCGGTGGTTGTCTTGGTGTTGTTGTATTATTGAAAGAGATGAATGCAGTACAATATATCAAACCGAGCATCATAATGAATGTGTTTTTTTCCAGAACACTGATAAAAACACACACCCTAACAACAAAACTGTATGGTTAAAAACACTTATATATAGGCAAACCGAATTGTTCTTAGTAGGTTCTTTTTTGTCCAGTTAATTTCAAAGTGTGTGAGCATTCTTACTTTGGGAGTCTGAATATTTTCATCTGTTTTACTTGTGTGGTTCTTGCCTTTTTGCTATGGTAGTCTGATTATTTTTAACTTGTTTCTTTGCAGGTTCTTTCCAAAAGGAAATTACCAGCAGTTCGAAAACGGAAAGGGATGAACCAAAAAGAAACACCACAGAGTTTACGTGAGCCTGGGAAAGAAAGTATTGAACTGAAGGAATCATCTGGGGTGAGTATGAAAAAAACATGTCTCTGAAAAATCCTGTTAGAAGGTGACCTAAACTGAATTTTTTTGTGCACTATATATCAGGAATGAAGTGGTACTTTATATTAGAAAATGTTCTTTATGTTTACTAAAAAGTATGTCGCTTGTTTTTTCATGACCAGGTTTGCGATGTGATGCTTGAATTTGACCAATTTGTGCAGTACCATGAGATGAAGAAGAAAACAGAGGTTTGTACCGTGAGAAATTAGTTGAAAAGCACACCAAAAAAATTTGTTGAACTGTTTTTCTTTCTTTTTGGTTTGCTAATTCTCATAAATATTATATTGCACAGGAATTTGTTAGTAGTCAAGACAAAATTGTGAGCCAAGGAACACTCAGTAGCAGCCAGGAAGAAGACCAGCGAACTCAGATCGAAAAAAAATGATGAGGTTCAGATGCATAAAGTGATACAATGTGAGAAGTATGATGATGTTATTCTGATAGCAAATGATACTGGCAGTGAAGATGTGAGAATAGTTTCTTCAAAAACTTTGCTTGGTTTTCTTTTCTACTAATATTGATATTGGCAGTTTATGAATTGAATATTGATGAATGAATGTTTTTGAATAGGTCCGAAACAGTTATATTGACGAATCAGGTTCTACACCGGCTGTCATAATTGTGAACACAGAGACTTTGAATGGGAAAAATCTTTGTTCTACAAGCACAGAAAGGGGGAAAGATGATGTGGGACATCCTAGTGAACAGGTAAATAGCCTTATTTAATTCAAAAAAAGAATGCCAGCACTTGTGGGTTTAAAAAATCTTGCTGTTACATGAATAAAAAATTATTTGTGTTAAGAATGATAGAAAAAAAAGTTGAGCATTAATTTAGATTAGATAATTGTTGCTTGCGCGTGTAAAATAAATTAGTGCTATAAAAATTTAAAAGATTTTTTCCTAAACAGTATTTATATCTTAGTCTATGGTGTGATATGGATTGGTTGTATTTACTGTTTGTAATGTTCTTCCAGGAACAGCATTATAGTGAGGACGCTTGTGTCCCTTCGGATGATTGCATGAGCAAAAAAGATTCTGATGATGAGTTAACTGAAAATGAATCAAAACCAGAAGAGTACTTGTTCCCTACGCCAGATGAGATGGAGAATACAAGTACACCTGAAGTAGGGAAAGTATTCTCTAGTCTAGAAGAGGCTGTCAGATTTGTCAACATTTATGCTCATATCAGTGGGTTTGGTATCAAAAAAGGGAGGAATTACCGAAACAGGAAGATTACCATTTGCTGCTGCAAAAGTAGAAAAACAGAGCCCAATGCAGCAGGTGTGAGGAAGCGCAGGAGGAATATGGTCGTTAGGACAAATTGTCAGATGCATGTTACAGTAAGCTTACAAGATGGCAGATGGATTATTACTTCCCAAGATCTTGCACATAATCATGATTTGGTATGTTCGCCTACATTGACCAAATTCTTCCTAAGTCATAGGAGCATGAATGAAGCTGAAAAACTTCTCTCGAGGCTGTTACAAGAACATAGAATTAAGCCAAGGAAGATAATGAGTATTTTTAGGAAGCTGTCTGGTGGAAAATTGGGTAACATTACATTCGATGTCAAGAAGCTTGACAACCTGAAACAGGAAGATCGTGAAAAGAGAAGGAACACGGACATTGAACACACTCTGGAGTATATTGAAAAACTGCAGATTGACAAACCTGGTTTTGTATACAAGGCTCAAAGAAACGCATCCAACTCAATGCTTAGCTTGTTCTGGACAGACTCAAGATCAAGGCTGGACTATTTGCTGTTTGGAGATATAATATCATTTGATACAACGTTCAGCACTAATAAGTACAATATGCCCTTTGCACGATTATTGGAGTTAATGGCCACTCGAGAACAATTGTTTTTGGTTGGGCCCTTTTGCAGAATGAGCAGGCAGACACATTTAAATGGTTGTTTGAAACTTTTGTTGAAGTGATGGGTGGAAAAAAACCGAGAGTAGTACTTACTGATCAAGATGCTGCAATGAAGAAAGCTGTTCCAAAAGTGTTCCCAGATGCATTCCATAGGTTCTGTATTTGGCATGTTAGAAGGAAAGCAAGAGAAAATTTGGGTGCATACATGTCAATTAAGAAAGGAATGGAACAAGACCTTGACTATTGTATCATGCAGTCCATGACTGTTGAAGAGTTTGAAATGAATTGGAAAGAAATGGAGCTGAAGCATAGTTGTGGAAAACATGCTCACATTAAGCGCATGTGGGAGAATAGAGAGTACTTTGTTCCTGCTTATTTCCAAGAAGTGTTCTGCCCGTTCATTAGGTCTACCAGC